CAGACAGACAGACAGACAGACAGGATGGATAGGATGGATAGGATGGATAGACAGTTAGGTGGGTAGATAGCGAGATTGGCTGGGGTCCACTGGGGTGAGCCAAGCCCGGAACCTGGACGGACCTAAGCCCAGGATGTGCGTGACCTCGTGGAGCTGACTGTGGGGAAGATGGAGATGCGACCCAGCATTATATTTTGGTTTATAATGATTGACAGGTATATCGAGCATCTTTCATAATTCGTGTTGATACAAAAGTGTGAGGGTTTAGTCGTTGCCATTTGGGGTGCAGGGTTTGAGGGCTGGGGTCTGAGAGGGATTTGTCTCTGGCTTTTGTGCCAACTCTGAGTTAGAATAAGGATCCTTCTGTTTGGGTACTATGTTAGGGTCCGCTATTTTGGGAAACTCCCATCTAGATCCTTCTTCAAGCGCCCTAAGCTGCTGGAGTACAGTTTCAGCAGAATCAGCCTAAGCCCTAAACTACAAGCCCGAAAAGCCCAGCTGAACGTCAGGTACCATGTCGTTGGGGCTCTGGTGCTGGAGTGCACGGTTATCTACTACACGGAGGGGCGCATCCGGGCCAAGGGCCTAGCTTAGGGTTGCTAGGGTCTCGCCCGGGTTTGTTTCAGTGACGGTGTTGTTCTGATGCAGATTGCCGCAAAACGACCATCTATCGTGGAACCCTTCTTTGAAGTGGATGACCTGCTCCAAGAGGGCCAGAATCAGCAGAATCGGGACATGATCATGGGGTCATATTGGGCATGTCCATGTTTGCTTTGATCCTTGTTCTCACTCACGTGTCTTGAGGCCTTGTGGATATAAGATAACTATCGCGGGAAAGGCCTGAAGGACGATCGCTACGGCTCGAAGGGTTGGGTCCTCCAATCCCCAACTTCCCGAAGCTCCAAGGCACCAAAGCCCTCAAAAGTCCTTCCCCCACATCCTGGCAGAGCCCGCTATGAACTCCCCGCGCCCAAGACGTCGTCCCCGCCCTTCTTGCTGGGCCTCTACTGGCTCTCGGTGCGGGGCCCCTGCGAGGGAAAGCCTGACATGCCCGAATGAGTGGCTTTGGAAAAATAGACTCGTGTCATGCAGGGCTGTTGGGCCTTGGGAGAGCATGCGTAAGTATAATAACATATGTACAGTTCATGGATACATCGGTAGTTAACGGTGACTGAAGGAATGGAGGAAAGAAGGAAGGAGTAATCAATTGAATTGACATTAGACTCATTAGACATGAATATTATTAAACGCGCAGAAGTGGCTAACTCACCACCAACTGAAAAATTAACTAGCTAGCTAGCTAAAAACAATCTAGCATGTAGCTAGCTTACTACTAGTAGCTATCTGATGAAAACTGACTGACTGACTGACTGACTGACTGGCTGGTTGATGGATTGTTTGACTGACCTACTGACCAACAAAATAAAGAACAACAAATCCATGTATACATTTATCTCAGAGAGATATGTGTCTGGGAGGGCCCTGCAGCTGGAGCTTCATTCAGCTTGACAGGATCAAGCAGGGGTTCGAGCTTTGAGCCCTCTGCGGCAGCGTCAGGCTGCGGGTACATTTATCTACGTGCTGCTCTGTGTGTGGCCGGTGCCCGAGCCACGCCCGGAAGCACAAACAAGAAGACATCCACACCAAGGGCTTTCAGGCCTGGGACTTTCTTGGCTGGGGTGTTCGAGGCTACCTCTTTGTCTCCATGATGTTGATGGTGATGCTGATCCTGATTGCTCGTGATCTTGCTCTTGTTGCGTGTCACAGCTGCCTCTAGCAACAGTAACACACGTGGCATGGGAGATAGGGTTCAGGGCCAAGGCTTCTATAAGAGGGTCTATAATAACAACACTACAAAACATAATGTAGTATGAATAATGGTCAAAAGCCAATAAGAGGAATAATAATAACAACAACAACAACAACAGTAATAATAATCGGATGGCTGTTCGAGTCAGACGGGTGTCGGATTTGCAGGCTCCTAACCTGGCGTGAACTTCACAGCACCTCAGACTCGATGCCCTAGATGACCCCAGGGAGCCCAATACCCTCAAACCAGCAAGATTCTTAAATCCGACAATGAAGCTGCTGATATTTAAAGAACTATTTTCCTTAGTTGCGGGGTATCGGTCTCGCGTGGAAATTGTATGGAAAGAACCCCATGTAGTCTTTTTTTCTATCTTCTTTGTGTGTGGCGATCTTCTGTAGTTTGCCACAGCAGCTTCGGGAGCTACCTGCACTCCGAGGTTCAGCATGTACGCTTCCATCTCTTCGCACAGCTTTGGTGCCGCCTGGTAGCACGCAGCCTGCTGCTGTTGCTGTGCAGGGTAATTACAACCTGGGTCAGCATTTCTAGAGCCTACTAATAGCCAGGGCTAGGAGAACGCGGGCGTCTGGCATCAAACATGTTCAGACCTTCGGGTCCAATGCAGAACTCTACAGCTTAAGCCGAAAGACGATGGCGACAGCGTGAAACGCTAAGCCCCTGAAAACCCTAGAAGCATGAGGCCATTTTCAACCCACGAGAGAAAGCCCAGGAGCAAAAACCCTGAACCCTTAAGCTTTGAATCCTAAAAAACAGACTTCCTGAGCCTCATTCTACGATGTGGACTCTTCACGTGTAGGGGAGACTTGAAGTGTGGGGAAAGATGAGCTGAAATAAACATGAAAAGCTATAATAACAATAATGCTATAGTAGTAATAGCAACAATAGTAACACCAGTAATAGCAGCAACAATAACAACTAACGATTAGAGTGGCCCAAGAGGTCCGGCTCTTGACGCGCTTCATCCGTCTGCCGATCCCGGGAAGCCAGCAGCCGGGGGCCGAGATGGGGGGCCCGGTGGGTTGTAAGGTCCACTCACCGGGGCCTTCTTGGGATACAAGACAAATGATGCAAGGAAGTCACAACACTTCCTCATGCTTGTCTGGCCGTGGGCTCAAAATTTTGCCCTCGGGGCTGCAAAAGTCTTTCACCCCAAGAAGAGTTTTTTTGTTTACAGCCTCACCCCTAAACTCCGAACCCTCAGCCCTAAACCCTAAACGCCTCTTTGTTTGTTCTCCAGGATCAATGCGCTCAATGCTCGGCTGACGGACTTCGAGCGTGCGGGCCCCGCCTTTGTTATTTTTTCTTCGTATTTGTAATTTTTGCAATCATTCTTACTATTCGACTGATCGGATTACTATAAGTTTTACTAGTATTACTATTCTAATTCAAAGTTTAACGTTATAAGTATTTCTATCAGCGTGAGGATTTTTTAAAGGGGTTTCTGCTGCCTCACCAAGCCCGGGTTTCGGCAGGGCCTCTGCTGCCAAGGACAGGGAAAGAAGATCATGCGCATCCCCTTCACAAGGGACGTGCCGCAGTGGCAGCAACGCAGGCCTGCGTCCGAAGTCTGCAAATTTGGGTTTAGGGCTTAGCGACATAGTAAGAGAACATGCCTGACTCCAGCACCGAAGGTGCAGGATACACTCCCACCGCCTTGCCTGGTAGGTTGTTGGGGCCCTTTGCCTGTCAGAGCCCCAAAACCCCATATTCGAAGGCGTAGTCCAAACCTGACACATTCAGAAGCGTAGCCCGAGCAAAGGCAAGATCTAGCGACAACCCCCCAAAAGAGCCCTAAAGCCTGATCCCTAAACTGAACCCGAATCCCTAATCCTTAAACCCTAAGCCCGAATCCCTGCAGTACTCCCGAAAGAAGAAGCCGGGCAGGGACCTGAAGGACCTGCCAGACCCGGCCCTCGGGGTGGGCGAGGCAGCGATACTCTTCCTTGAAAGCCTCTTCTTTTGGGGCTCTTTTGAGGGGCCCTTGCTCGGATTGAAGGGGCGCTTCGAGGTTCGTCGAAAGGTGTTCGAGGATTTGGGGTTTGAAGGCCAATTGGAGCTTCAGGGTTTGAGGGCAGTGTTTCAACCGACAACGACAGCAGCAGCCACAACAGACAGCAGCAACAGCAATTCTATTCCTGATGACTATCCTCATTTTCATACCTCTTGTAGCTTATCATCCTCCTTCGGATACGCCCCTTTCTTCTAATCATTCCTCTTCATAACCACCCTCTGCTCAGCGCTGCCAGGGAGATGAGAACTTCATGACCGCTGTGGTGCAGCCCGGGGGCATGAAACAGCAGGCAAGATTTAGGGTTTAGGGTTTGGGGTTTAGGGTTTAGGTTGGGCCGGGGGCTCAAAGCCGCGAAACCAAATTGTCGAAGCTTGCAGGTCACCGTAAGCTCCGGGATCTTGGGCCCTCGCCACCATCCACAATAATTACTACAGGAGGAATCAAAAGAAAAGCAAGTCTCTGCAACCCCTTCACTTCTCCGTGTCCTTTCCCAGAAGGATTGCAAACCACCTCCACAGTCGTGTAATTATACTGGTAAGCACCCCTCAGCCCACACGAAGTCCGACGAAGGACCTCTTGGAGGAGGGCGTGCAGGCTCCGACTGTCTCGCTAGGGCCGCTAGGTTCTCTTTCAACGGGCTAAAGCATTTACCCTTCAACTCGAAACTCTAGCTTGCGGCGCTGCGTCTTAGAGACCAATGGTGCCATTCTACTTCCAAAACGATGGCACCTGAAGCATGGACAATGCAAGCAGCGACATCAGCTTTATGTACAGGCGGAGTCGTAAACATAATAACAATAACACGAACTGCATGAGCACATCAGGGTTCCATGTTGATGAGCACGTGGAAGATCTTCTGTAGCATGAGTATAGCACCAGCATCTGCTCACTTCCATGTTGCGAGGGGAAGAGCAATGCCACTCATTGTGTGTCCTCACGACTCTCTTCTATCATGCAGCTCATGACAGTCATGGTAGCATGAACAGCTATCGTAGCATGATTGTGTGAAGAGGTGTCGTTGATGACGATTTAACTCCCTAGCAGAACCTCTTTGAAGACCCCTAAGCTGGCCCCAAATCCTAGACCCTGAAGAACCCCTTACAGGAACCCTAAAAGAATCCGTAAAGGAGCTCACCACTCGAGGCTTGGAGACTCGTGGCGAAGTCGAAGTGTAGGATGGCAGGAGTGGTGCTTATCAAAGCATCTTTGGTAGCGTAGGCCCTGCAATGTTCGAGGTGATGACCCTGGACCCTGAAACCCCCACACCGTAAAAGCCGGCAGAAGAAGGCTCTGAATACACCTGTATTGCATCCTTGGGCCTGGCACCGTTAGGCCTACCAGGACGATGAGATAGGCCTCCAGCAGGCAGGGTCGAACTCGATGTTGTGTGTGTGTGTGCCCGTGACGCAGGAGGTGCGTGTGACGCAAGTCGAACCGCAAGCCGTTTTGTCAGGGAACCGCCTAGATAGTCTCAGCCTCAGCACCCTCAGACGGGTTCTCGCTCGACGAAGATGCAGCTTCTTTCAGCATCTTGGCGAATTAATTTTGATTTGTTTTTGCTCTAGCGGTTCCTGTAAGTTCTAACTTTGCACCTGAAGCTGTTACTCAGCAAGGTCCTGCTGTCATTGATGCTCCCTGTGCTGGCTTCGGCCGGTTGCGACGACTCTATGGAGCGCGACTTCAGGAGGGGCTGGTATACGACGGTATGCAGCAAAAAGGTCAAGTGCTCTGGAAGTCGCTGCCACAGCTGTCATTTGCGCATCAGCTCCCCCTGCTTGCGTCCCGATGGTTCTGGACTTGGCAAAAGACATCGGAATCGAATTCGGCGCAGACCTTGCGTTGCAGCTGATAGAAGACCAAAGGGAAGGGACATTGCCAGATGGCAAAAGCGTGAAAGCCGCACTGCTGACAGAGACTAAATGCAAGCACTGCCCCTTGGCAGGGTTGTGCACGGCCTTGCCAAACCAGTACCGTGTGTGCGTGGCATACAACAAAATGCCAAAGTTCACGATCGATGATCAAGGAGCCCCTTGGCAGTGCTACCTCAGCAGGTATCCCGACTTGACGAAGGCTTTTGGAGCCACAAATATTGCAGAGGCAAGGAAGCATTGGTTCCAGCACGGCAAGGACGAAAAGAGAGCTGTGACTTGCGACGGCGTCTGCAATTGGGAGTGCTACCTCGACCGTTACGCCGATTTGCAGAACGCGTTTGGCAAAACAGGCTTTGAGCAAGCAGCCCAGCATTGGTCCGAGTTTGGTGAAAAGGAAGGCCGCAGTTGCCAGTGTGCACCAGGCACAGAATGCCAGTGGTAGTGCTACCTGAACCGGTACGAAGACCTTCGCAATGCGTTTGGGCCAGACAACATTGCATCTGCGCGTAATCACTTCTACGAGTTCGGCAAGGCAGAAGGCAGGACCTGCCGGTGCTAGTGTACAGGCCTCTTGGTAGAGGCAGGTTTTAATTCTCCCACGGAGATTTATCCGTGTCACAGGCACGTTTTGAGTGTGGCCTGGGCGCGACGCCGTCTCAAGGCCCCAATTTCTAGGATCCCCGTTGTTTTGTTGCAGTTTTAACCACGGGGCCCCTTGATTTAATAGTAGGAAGTGACAAATGCAGGGTGCAGGCCCAACACGTGGCCACCCTCACCCTGTGGACAGGCTCATGTCGGTGGGTGCTACAAGTAAGAGAAGTCCGCAGTTGAAGTTGCATTGTGCTCCCTTTATGAGGTTATTGTGTGTCTAAGCTTTGGGCCTGGTGGTGTCATCTTTGAGCGGATTGTTTGGAATTCCGCAGTTGTCTAACTCGCTACATTGAGCATCATCTGCAACACCACCACCGTTCTTTGGAAATGTGTGCGCCGCTGCTTTCCTTCTTGTCTTCCGATTAGTGTGCCTGGGTAGCTTTCGCATGTCAGCAATCCTGAAGCTTTGAACCGTACTCGCACAATTACCACACTCTGTGCGCAAACGGTCGTCGTCAGTACCGCACTTGTGACGTTAGCCTTTCGTGGCCGCAAGTGATGTTTTCATAAGTGTTGTTTCTTGAGCACTGCTTTATGTGTTTATGACGTTATGGTGATGTCACAGTTATTATTGTTGTGATCAGCCTGTGGCCCATGGTGATTCTGTCGATCAGGCTGCGCAGAACCTGCCGGGAAAGCACATCCGCCTCTTCCGGGAGCTTTTTGGCCTGCTTCGTTTTGGTGTGGGCGTGGAGTTTCCTTGGACATGTGTGTGATATTCGGAAACAGGGTCGCTTCCGACCCCCCAAGAGGTGTCACTTCCGACCCCCCACAACCTGGACAGCCCGGACAGCGCGGACAACAGCCCGGACAGCCCGGACA